TCTTTATATCTTATGACCTATCTTAGGTTTAAATTTCATCATTTTATGTCAGTTATTAAAGCAAGCAAACCTACAGGGACTGTATAATAATCACAAATCCATTTTAAACATGTTGATTTATTGAAGTCCTTAAAGACCCGGGTAAAGCATGTGAGTACATGATTAAAGAATGTCACTTTTCTCCCTCTGATCCTGAAGTGCCAGATGCACCTAGTTCTATGTCTGTGTCACAGTCTGATTCCAAATCCACAATCACTGGGTAACACACCCCTTTTGTCCATGATTCTTCAGTAAGTTGTCAATTTGATACACTGGCGGTGGTGTCTTGGCAAGGATGATTTTATACAGCGTTACTTTTGTTGCCATTGGGGATATTCAATGCCAAGTCTGTCCAGCCATTGCACCATATCTCCCTTCCTTGATGCAGAGGTGGGGCATCTGTTGTTTGGTTCTCTGCAGATATGGTAAGGAGCATTATCCATGACTACGACAGATTTTGCGGGTAGTGTTGGGATAAGCTGCTCTGTCACATACTCAGTAAACACAGCTGAGTTCATTTCCGAGTGGTACTCGAGTCCATCCGTCGATTGGAACGGAAAACAAGGTCACAGCGAGGGGGTGAGGTGAGGTGAAATTGGGTTTTACGTCGTGCTTGAGAATATTTCGCACATATGATGATGTGCATGCGTGTGTATGTGTGGCTGCTTGTACTAGCCCAGACTTAAGCTGGTTTTATAGTGCTAGCCCACTGAGATACCATGCCACAGTTAAACATGAATACCCCACCCAGACACATTATACTGACTCCGAGCCGACCAGTCCTTGTTGTACCCATTAATGCCGAACGCCAGGCAGGGACCAACAAGTACCATATTTTAACATCTCTTGGTATGACGAGGTCGGGGATCGAACCCGCGACCTTCCACTCTCCAGGCGGACGCTCTAACCACTACACCACGGAGGCGGTCGTCACAGCCAGGAACAAACCCTAAATGAGAGCCTGCGTGAAGAACAATAAGTCTCTCGCCTTTCCCCAATGGAATCTTCCTGTTGTTGACTGCTTCTGGATGTTGCCACTGATAAGAGGAAGTATGGTTTGCATTCACCCATGTCTCATCTAGCCACACGATCTCTCGTCCCTCTTGTCTCTTGTGATGTATTCTTCTCAGATAATGGGCTCTCATAGAAGTGATATCTGCCCTTTCACATGAGTCAGTTTCTGGTTGCTAAATCTCTTGTATCTATATCCAAATTTGAGTAACAGCTTGCATATGGTATACTTTGATACATTGATGTCATGGTCTGCTTTCATTATTATCTTCAATTTACTTGACGATATGGACTCATTGGATCGATGTAACAGACGTATGAGGTCCCTCACAACCCTTCTATCGAATTCATCAAGCTCTCTTTTCTTTGCATGTTTTGAGACAGCCCCCGATTTAACTGCCATGTCATCATCAGGCTCTGAAATAGTGCCATGGGAGATAACTCTTTGCAAAGTTTTGTGGATCGATGTATCCGACGTATGAGGTCCCTCACAACCCTTCTATCGAATTCATCAAGCTCTCTTTTCTTTGCATGTTTTGAGACGGCCCCCAATTTAACTGCCATGTCATGATCAGGCTCTGAAATAGTGCCATGGGAGATAACTCTTTTGCAGATCTTGGTGGCATTAATTGTTCTTTTGGTGAAACACTCAATTGAAATAAGAGTTTTTTTTCGCTTTGCTTCGCGCTTGACGCTTGAAAAAGTTGTTAACTCTTTTGATGATTTGCCGGGCATCTTTGGACAACAACGTTTTCACTACTACTCTTCTACCTGTGTGCTGACGATCTATGACATCACTAAGTCTTAGGCGTGCTAATGTAAAAACCTATGCATGCACATTTCACGCTGACACACATTTTACAATGTTGTTGGCTTTTCCATCACGTGCGTTAACCCCTCGTAAAACTCCACACTTTTACACTTATTATATGATAGCTTTATAGGCAAAATCTTTAATAACTGTTTTGAAATGACTAAACTCGATATCTTGTTAGGTCACTGGATACAATTGCCATATGAACAGAGTAATGTTTTAAAATATTCACTATTCTTAGTGGGACGCTGTACACAAACATTTCTCTCAAAACTGTGAATTACCAGGTCAAGATAGATCAGACCTAAGAGCATGACAAAGTTTCTACACGGATATAAGTATGTTCAACCAAAGCATGACTAATTTATCAATACATAAATTACAGTCAGGGAAGTAATCTTACCTCAAGTCATAATCATGGAGTAGTCAATAAAGGACCTAGAATTCAATCTCATACATATTTGATACCAGTTATCTCACATGGGTTTGTCACCTACAGGTGTGTATTTTCAACAAATATCAAGTGATAAACTTCTGTATTTAATAATTAAGGGAAGGATATGTTGAACTGATAGTGAGTGAGTGAGTGATAGATTGGCAACCTGTTGGCCACAATGTGACTTGAATTTAAATGTACTGAGCAAACTTTGAATTCCATTATGTGACACATCAACACAAGATTTACCTGAATCCATCTACCCATTTCAGACAGAAGATGAAGAATAAGGTTTTATTGATATCAACACTTACAAAGTTGAAACAATAACATATGACTTTCAAAACCTAAACGAATATGGCCTTTCACTTTCAGGACATGTTGTGAGCTAAATAGAAAGTTTTCAAAGATCATCATCCCATGTATCTCAGTTTCTTGACACAGCATGGTTGGTTCACTTGGTTACAGGTGAGATGAGGTGAGGTGAGCATTTCATCCCCCTGTATGACAAGACAGGGGGATATAGTAATCAGCTAGTCTGTTCATCTGATCGTCCTTCTGTCTGTCTGTAATAATTTCCACGAAACTTTGCACACACAGAGAACAGGTTGTCAAATGGTGCCTTTTGCTATTTAGGGATTTCTTGAATTTTCATATTTCCCATGGCAACAAGTTTGACTTTGACTGTTCATAGTAAGGCTGTAACAATTCATCAAACTATCGATGGATTGCAATTGTTGAGTCCCTGATAGCAATTAATCAATGGGAGAAACGAAAAACTATTGATGCATGTGTGACTATCAATAGTTTAGTAATTAATTACTGTCATAACAATTCGTCATGTTCTCTCACGAACTGTTCCGTTGATAAATGTACAGCGCAAAAGTACCAGATTCGTTCACTTTGATTTAGAGTTATCCACCCCTGCTTCACTGGGTTTATGTTACATCTGGGGTTCAAGTTTCTTGTCAGTTATTAAAGGAAACTGAAACTACCTAACTTGTTTTTATTTCATATATACTATACATTAATTTGAGGAATGACTACAAATAAGACAATGCAAGGAGAAATAAACCTATTGCAATAGTATGTTGCAATAGGCTATCGCTATCGCAATAGTTGTTTCGCCCTCAATAGTCAACCCTAGTTCATAGTAGTGTCCTTGTTTAGACCTTGTCTCCAAAACCAAAAAGATCAACACAAAGTATCGTTATATAAACCTGTATAGGCATAAACATTATAATGAAATGTATGAACCATAAGTAACAGACAAAGCAGGAGTGATTATTTTTAGTTTTGTATCACCAGGCTGTGCTTATAACTACTGTTGTTTGTTACAACTTTATTGATGTGTGTATTTATGTAACCGTATGCAATAGAGAGTTTAGTCAGCCAATGGTTCAAGATGATGGCACTGCTTATCCCTATTCCTTTTTTTTCAATAGCTCAATAACCTGTATACAGACAAATGGATACATATTACTCTCACGAAGTTGGACATATGACTCTTGTAGGACTTGATGATTACCTCTATCATATTTGTGGGAGATGGGTGGATTTGTCATCCCTTGTTGACTCTTGTTATTTTAGTAGCAATGTGCATGCACATGTCTGTGTGAGTCTCCTTCTACTTGTCCAGGTTTTAGCTGTTGTTATAGTGCACAAAAAGTGACATACTATGCAACAGTAAAACAATAATTAGGTGCAGCTAAGTTCTTAAACAAGCAACCTTCTGCTTTGTGGGCAGATACATTGATCATCTGAGTAGATGTTTATATGTGCATGATGCTTAGTGAAACCTGTAAAAGATCTATGCAGGTAACAAGAAATTTGACTTTTAATCATTCTACTAGGAAAGACATTTTGTCATTATCCAAAAAGTGACTGATGTAAGCAATCTTGAAAGAGAACAGTAGTTTGTCACGAAATGGGGACCTGTTTAACAATTCTTAATTGTTAGTAATTCAGATTATTTCAAACCATTACATTAGATGAAACAGAATGACATTATGCATTAGAGACTTATTCTCTATTGGCCCAGAAATCAGTCAGAAACTGCCTTCAGATGTCATTATCAATTAGGTGAATTTTTAGACCTTCCAAAATAGCAATTTTAATATTTCCCCAGTGACCATAAACAAATGATTGATGTATGATAATCCATATCCTTACTTGCCTCAGACAGAGCATCAACCTGTCTCTGAAACCCAGATACATTCTCAACACTTCCTACTGCATGTATGAAGAAGGTAATAGTACATACCCAACCCATGATGTGCATGATGGATGCATTTTACCAGAGTTCGAACATTTTAGTCTTTCCCTGACCTTGGCAATATTGGTCTGTTTCTGTTCATATTTGGTTGGACGTTTCAATCCCGATTTTCTCATGTGCATTACAAATCGAAAGATGTAAGTACTGAATGAACAATTATATGCAAACAACGTCCCTGTAACAGTTGCTTATGGTCACGCGTATTCATTTCGGATACATATTTTTAGTGGTAATGAAATACTCTTTCATGCCTGCTGAAAATAGCTTCTGCCACTGAATTCTGCAGCGCCAGCGGCGCAACTGCCTCCCTGCTAGCCACAACACTGGCTTGTTTCATCCTGCCTACGAGGAAGCTGTTTCAAGAATAATGCCATATTTCTTATATCCCTTTATGACAATGTTAAAACAATTCTCAGATAAAATACCTGTTCAAGCTTGCACTCTCCCTTGACGACAAAACATTTGTTGGGTTGTTATCCTGACATGTCCTACTTTGTCTGACTGACCGACATTGAGGCTTATCTCCCTTTATTGTCGTGATTTCCACCAGGGTGAATACGGGCAGACTGGTTCCCTAAGCTGGGCCCCGTCTCCCATATCGCAATATACGTTAGCGCGCGCAAAGGGAGCCGGGAACCAGCTTAACTTTAGCAGAAACGACCGGGAATCCGTCTATCGCTGTTTCATTTCATTTTCTCAGAACATTCACCCAAATGTTAGCCATTTATATTATCGCATATATACTGACACGTCTGCAAACCATTGTATGTGTAGATTATACAATACACCTTAGTCAGTTTTAGCATTTACTGAGATCTACAGGATCTGAATTGTACTGTTATTTTTTCCATATTTCCCCAAACAAATCTATTGTACTGTTATTTTTTCCATATTTCCCCAAACAAATCTATTGACCGGTGGAAGAATGTGTTCCCGGTTGCAACTCCGACAACGTGTTATTGAACGTTCATGGTTGCACCAAATGAGAACTGGTTTGATGTTTTGCAATGAGGAGAATTCTAGTAAAAAGACATTTGATTAGCATTTGTCACTTAAATGCTATAATGTATGGTATCCTAGTGACGGGCGATTCGATTAAAGCTGGGCCCCGTCTCTCATACGTTGACGCTTGCACATGGGGCCGAGAAGCAATGGATATAGGAATAGAATTTGTACTTTACTGAAAAGTGTAATCCCAAATATAACACGTTACATTTGATTTTATTCTCAATGGCATTGTGTATTCAATATAGGACTAGTTTGCCTGCCCAAGAGCGCTTGCGCTCTTCACTACAAGTGCAGTGCACTGACTACGCATGTGTGACCCTTTAGACCGGAAACAATCAAAATGCCACTGACAGTCGTTTGCAGTCTCAGATTGTGGCATTTTCTGGATTGTTTTGGGATGTATTTTGTGTCAGTTGACAGTTGAAGAAACAACAACACGTATGGGAATATGTATAACGCAGAACAGGTAAATAATTAGGCCAAGTACGTCAGTATTGAAGATATATTTGTCATGTTATTGTGACAAGGATACCATCAACGTCAAATTTAGTGGGTTTCCCCAGTTCTATATATAGAAGTAGTTCCGCTAATTGAGTTTAAAATTCAGTACACGATCCCCTGCTTCCATCAATTCTCTGTCACCAACAGCAGTTGTAAACATCAAGCATGATGTTCACATTACTGTCGATCAATCTCAAAATGGAATAGTTGGGTAGGTATTCAGTGTACATATCAATGTCAATTCATTTTCTTTACATGGACAAGTACAAGGTTTGGAGCATTAATATAGGAAGGCGTTTCCTATTCTCGCGGTACTTACGGATATCGGCTGAAAAAATAACATAAACAATTCTTATCGTATGAATGCTTGTTGTTTTTAAATGAAGGGCCTTCTCCTCTATCATCTACATCTATCAGCTGCCAGATCCATCAGGTGAATTACCACTCGTGAGCCCGGTGATAAACAATGCCATCCGCCATTGACGAAATGAGGCTTCTCCTATTCTCGCGGTATTACGAGGAATTAACGTTATTGAGTGTATGTAAGAGTCATCCTGCCGGAAAGGGCGGGAAAAAGTAATGATATGTCCAAGTTGGTATAAACTCCCCAATATTCGTGACACTGCAAGATTTTGATTATTCACCGACTTGGTCCACTTCCTAGTTACCAGTCGGTGATGTAAACAACCGCTAAGTGTCACGCATCGGCGATTTCGGCAGAAAACGTATTTACCGCGAGAATAGGAAACCCGCGAGAATAGGAGACGGACCTATACTACTGGAAGAAAGTAACTGTGCATTATTTTATTTTTTAATGCAAAAAGATAATAACATGATTTGTGGTGTATTCCTTAATCACTGGGAAAGACTCTCATCCGTATCCCCCTTTAACCCCCTAGATGCAGAGGTTTTTTTCAGGCGCACATTTTCATAAGGTTTGAAAAGTGAACGTTGTGCGAGAATTGCGCTCACATGGTCCTGGATCTGCGCAGGGCTATAAATTTACACAGACATGAAGAATATTAAATTTCCTATCCGTTGGTATAGATATAAGTGCAACTCCCTCGACTGTTTGAGAAATAAGCACTGCTAAGTGTTGTCCAAAATGTTGTGCGTTAAATAACAGTAAATTTCTCCGCTTTTTATCGTGCACTGATAAAGGCACTGTGCTACAATTTTTTTCATTTGGCATCGGTATGGAAAGTGTGAGCGAAAAAATACAGCCTGATGTCTGAACGACATAAGTGTATGTGATATGGGTTTATGTGCTTATGCATAACGTTATAGGCTAAACATTAAAAATGACTCACAATAAATGTCAAAAGTGGATTTTCTTCTATGACATCAAACGACAACAGAGAGGTCATACACGTATAAAGCTTAGGGGGCATAACTCCGCTATGCTTAAAGAAGAAATAAACTTTGTTTTTTTTACTCTTTTAACTATTACATATGAAAGATTTGTGGTTAGACTTCTGCGGAACACCAAATTCATTCTTAAGAAACTTGTGGTTAATTAATACAGAGCGATTAAAAGTTACCAAAAAGTCGCCTGCTTCACTCTCGCCCGCCAACAAAACCACAGACAGGTTACGTAACTCTGTCGCCAGAGCACTGCAGTGACGTAATATGAGGAAGGATTTTCAGTTAGTTGTATAGAAAGTGTGTAGCACGCTCATCATTTTGATGATTTCTCGACATCAACGAAGACATGCCGAATCGTTGCTTTGTCGTCAATTGCTCCTAGGGGTCGGGCGATGGTGTCGCCATGCACAGATTTCCACAGGACCCCGCAGTTCGTGCTAAATGGGTTATGTTTGTGAGTGCGAAGCGAGCGTTGTGGAAGCCTGAAACGATATCTTACTTGTGTTCAGATCGCTTCACGGAAGTTAAAGAATCAAAACTACTTACTAGCCGTAGTAAAATATGTATATGATTGATGACCATAAAGATTTTCCATGACACAACTTGTAACATAACAATTTCTTCCTCAGAAGTGAGGTTGTGGTCGAAGTAACAATAATATTGTAAGTAGTATTATATTGACACCCACCTCGCTTCCACGAGAGAAATTGTTATGTTATAAGCTATGTCATGCAAAATCCTATTGGCTAGGGTTGTCGCGATACGCGAATGTATCGATGCATCGATACATTTTTACTGACGATACGATACGCGATACATGCTTGCGTGTATCGATTTCTATTTTAAAACTTTATCGATTCAAATTTTTATGCTATATCCATCTCAGTCAAAGTCTTGATAGTAAAATCATACGAGACCATTCTGATAAATAGATGTAGCTAGCTTTACTTAAAAAATAGGTTGGAAACTAACAGCTTTTGTGATTGGCTAGACTATTTTGATGGACCAATCAGCGAGCGCCTACGTTGCCGGTAAGGTAATGCTACGAAAAGGTGCGAAAATTATGTATCGCGATACGTATCGTGACCTTAAAATCGTGATACGTATCGTATCGTGAGATTGGTGTATCGTGACACCCCTACTATTGGCCATCAATCAAATACATATTTTACTACCAGTAGAAAGTAGTTTTGATTTTGTTACCTCGGTGAAAACAAACCTAAATAGTATTTATCCTCAGACTGGCTATGTTCGCGACAGGGCGACGCCATTTTTGAAAATCGTAAAGTGACGGGCTAAAGTCTGTTAGAATTAATGAGATTATGGTTTGTTTTCATCAAGTTAGAAAATCAAAACTACTTTCTACTCGTAGTTAAATATGTATTTGAATCATGACCTAAAGGATTTTGCATGACGCAACTTATAACATAACGATTTCTTCCACGGAAGCGAGGTGGGGGTCGAAGTCACAATACTGTGCAATACATTTCTTGCTACTTGGTTACGTCCACTCACCAGTATGTAGATACTAGTCAATGTGTGTCTTTATATTTGGTCTTATAATTCTAATTAGTTTATTATCATACTTGTATGCATTTTGAAACTAAATAAAAAGCAGACGATCTGCTGATACTTATAGTGAATTTATGACAGAACTGTAATATCTAGACATTTTATAGTTTGCCATTGTGAATCATAATTCGCACACACACCCTAGTGTATGTTGTCTGTCTCATTACACTTCACGGCGAAAACAATGATTCTGTTGAATGCTACGACAAATGAATAAAAACAAAATGCAAATATTAAAATTAAAACAGATTAAAGTTATGGGAACAATGTCAGGCTATTACCTTGTTAGAGGAATGTATACATCAATATCCACAAAAACGAGTGATATGCCATTCATCTGCAGCTGTTCCAAGTGATGTGTCTTTTAACAGTTTAATATACGAAAAAGTGATAAATCTTTTCAGGTATTTCACATTGGTGTATAGATCTCTGAATATAAGTCCTCTGTTGCCCCTAATCATATTGCAGTCAGATGCGATACCATTGTTTGTATTGGTGTATAGTCTCATTGGTCACCCATTCGTCTATGAAAACAAGTTGTAACTCGGAAACTAGGCAAAGCAGGAGACAAAATTAAATGACAGTAGATTGTGAGAACATATAGCTTTCATTTTCCACAACAGTTGTCACGATTTCAGGTTTATACAAACCTGTAAACAAGATAATTTACCCCCTGAAATGTAGATGAATTCTGCATCGGCCCTCATATCTATTCCTCTTATGACGTCACAGAGACACCCCGCTCTGATTGGTTGAAATTTCGTTCGCGGGTGAGAATTGTGCACTGTTGTCAAAAAGGTCGATTTAAGTTAATTAAAGACCGAAGTGAATAGTTTTAATGACGGGGTTTCATTTATAGCGATGCCAGTTAGTGATTTATGTATTTGTACCCCCCTAGAGTATATGTGATCTTTAACACTAGGTCAATGTGACTCAGATCACTTGGAGAGAATTTGTTGTGGATACGGGAGCTATATTTTCGTTATTTTTTGTTCACGGTGAACCAAACTATTCCAATACAAAGTTCCCCAATGTGAGCGGATACGTTTTGGTAGTTTCACAATTTATAAGAAAA